AAAAATCGATACAGGGCTTTAGAATATCGATACAGTATCGGGGAAATGAAATATCGCGATATTTCAGTGTATCGATATTTTCTTACACCCCTACTCGTTACTGAGGTTGAGTAGAGCAGTGATGTGTGTACAAACAGCAAGATCCACAGCCCTATTACTGTTGGCTTTTACAGTGATCTATGACATAGCAAAAAAGAAGGTGCTAAAAGGTATCATATACAGTGTTGTATGAAGTACCTCAAAGTGATACTTGAGTAAAAGTACAAGTATCTTATCATAAAAATACTTTGGTAAAAATTAAAGCCTTCTGTAAGAATATTACTTGAGTAAAATCTTAAAGTATCTGCTATTTTTGTATTTAAGTATCAAAARTAAATTTCTGACATAATGCTTAAATGGGTTGGCTGTGATGTCCCTTCAGTACAGTTGTGGAAAAACTTAATTTCTGAAGTACAGTATTTATATTAGAAAGGTTAAGATACTGTCTGAATGGTAAACTCCATGCTTTTAAAAAATGGAAACGAGTTCTGGATTGTCTCAAAATTAAAAGGCCAGTAATATGAACCTAGATTAAGCATTTTTAATTTTATTTGTCTATTCAGGTAGTTTTGTCAATCAATTGCTGTAACTTATGTATATGCCTCCTATGTTTGTTTATCTTTTTTTTTAAATGGTGCTGTATGAATTTTGTTCTGTTGATACTATTGTTCTCTATGACATTTATTGGGAGGTGACTTCTCCAAAAAAAATTATTTTCTAATGGTGTGCAGCTGTGATGGACTGTGTACAAAGTAATAGGCTGTCAGAATGGTAAATATTTATGCAGTACTTCTCATCTAAAAGCAATTAAATTCACTCTATCCAGGAGACATTATTTATCAGGATAGTATTTTTTTAAATAACCTGGAATAAAATAGGAGTAATGATTTTCTACTTCTTCCCTTAAAAAAGGTAGAAATTACAGATAATTGTGTGAAAATGTAATGAGTAAAAGTGAAAAGTACACTGTAAAATAATTACTCAGAACAGATAACCAAAATTTCTACTTAAGTACAGTAACAAAGTATTTGTACTTAGTTACTTCACAACTCTGACAATATTAGAGTTTTTACATTTTCAGCCTTAAATTTTTGTGTTTCACTCAGATGTTTTTTTTTAATTAATCCAAGTTTCTGTTTTCATATTTACTGCTGATCTCTGAGTTTCAGCAAAACTGTGGGCGGAGAAGAGAGTCGCAGTATGGAATGTTCCCTGGAGCATTCTGATCAAGAGAAAAGATTAGAGCTTTTGAGAGTTTGCAAGTTTGAAACCAACTGTTTTTTTTTTCTTTCTTTTCCACATCACGCTTGCTAATAAAAAGAGACACTGAAGAGCTTCAGAACTTGTGAGGCCTCAGTCAGAACAACTGAGTTGTCTCAACTTCTCCTTTTTCAAAAGATTTGTTTGAAAAAAATTAAATTGTATCTTACCCCCCCCATCCCCAGTGAAAAGATAACTCCGCCCCAAGGCGAAATTTGAAAAATGCATCAAAGTGGGTGGATGGGGAAGGGGGGGTTTAGAGAACGGAGGTGTGGCCAGGACGAGAGAACATGACAGGCAGCTAGCATTAGCATAATTGATGCTACATGGAGAGTGACCACAGTATCGCAGATAGTTACATCTCTGAACGTCTGAGGTGGAGGATTTTCACCCCACTTCAGCACCGGACAGCAGAGGTGGAGCGCTCCGACAATCTGACAGAAAAAAATAAAAGCATACAGCTGCTCACAAGGTCACTAG